AAATTAAAAATTGAAAAAATTGGCCGGGCGCGGTGGCTCAAGCCTGTAGTCCCAGCACTTTGGGAGGCCGAGACGGGCGGATCACGAGGTCAGGAGATCGAGACCAGCCTGGCTAACACGGTGAAACCCCGTCTCTACCAAAAAAATACAAAAAACTAGCTGGGCGAGGTGGCGGGCACCTGTAGTCCCAGCTACTCTGGAGGCTGAGGCAGGAGAATGGCGTAAACCCGGGAGGCGGAGCTTGCAGTGAGCTGAGATCCAGCCACTGCACTCCAGCCTGGGCGACAGAGCGAGACTCCGTCTCAAAAAACAAAAATTGAAAAAATTGAAATATGAATGCTAAAGCTGCATTGTATGTGAGTTTGAATGCAGTCCTTTTAGTTCAAAAATATCTCCGCATGGTTAAATGAAACAAAGAACTAATTACTCCAATATGGTTAGTTCATTTGGGGAATAAAGAAAACTGCAATCACAGTAGATAGATAATAGTTTTTAACTTGTTTCACAAAAGAGTTAAGAATGGTATATCAATATTTTATTCTAGTTTTTTAAAAATCAAAATAATCACATAATCCCATAAATCTGGGAAAAGTTTAATAATGGCTGCACCATTTGCAAATCACTTACTCAGCTCTAGGCACTGTGTTTATCCGTAATAATCCCTAATCCTTCCTTACAACAATCCTACACAATGAATAATATTATCCTTGTTTTATACATGAGTAGAAATTAATATTCTTCAATCTCTCTGAAATGTTTCAAATGCATGCTTCCATAACAAAATACAAAAATAAAGAGTAATTCCAATTACTAACAATTGTAGGATCCTAGCCCTGGTTCTGTCACTAATTAACCATGTAATCAGGAGGGACTACTTTCAGTTCCTAGGCCTCAAGTTTTACACTTGAAAACAAAGGAAAAGGTAATGCTGGGTAATAATTCCTACTCTGCCTACCTTACAATTGTTTGAAATAATATACAAGCAAAAATATTTGGTAAAGCACTGCTCAGATATACAGTACTATTTGGAAGAAAATTGTCTTTAAAGAATTTGTGGGGGAAATTATAGCTGACAATGATTAAGTAATAGTTCAAAACACAACAGATAAAGATACTATTTTTAATTTTTCAATTGCTGCCAGAAAAGTTATTCTTTCCCAGTGACTCACCCAATTTGAACTGTTCTGTCATGATAGATCTTAAAGCACAAAAATGTTCTCCATGCCAGGCACACTGTCTAAAGTACAAAAATGTTCTCTATGCCAGGCACGGTGGCTCACGCCTATAATCCCAGCACTTTGGGAGGCCTAAGCAGGATTGCTAGAGCTCAGGAGTTCAAGCCTAGCCTAGGCAATATAGTGAGGCCTTGTTTCTATTAAAAAATTTTAAATTAACCGAGCATGCTGACAGACCAGTAGTCCCAGCTACTCAGGAGGCTGAAGTGCAAGAATTGCTTGAGCCCAGGAGGTGGAAGGTACAGTGAGCCAAAATCACGCCACTGAACTCACAGAGTGAGACCCTGTGTCTCAAAAAAAAGAAAAAGTTTCTCTAAAGATAATAAGTGATTATTTATTTTAAGCCACTAAATTTTGGGATAATTTGCTATGCAGAAATATGCGAATAATACTGCACATAAGCATATCTCTTATTCATTTGTTAGAGATCTTTGTATTGTCAAAGTTCAGTTTGTCCTTCAATTTGTTTTCTTATGGTTTTAGAATTTTTAAAAAATCTCTTGACCGGGCATGGTGGCTCACACCTCTAATCTCAACACTTACGGAGGCTGAGGCAGGAGGATCGCTTGAGCCCAGGAGTTTGAGACCAGCCTGGGCAACACAGTGAGCCCTTGTCTCAACCAAAAAAAAAAAAAAATCAAAAAATTAACCCAGTGTGGTAGTGTGCACTTGTAGTCTGAACTACTCAGGAAGCTGAGGTGGGAGAATTGCCTGAACCCAGGAGATCAAGACTGCAGTGAGCCTAGATTGTACCACTCCAGCCTAGGCAATAGAGTGAGACCCTGTCTCAAAAACGAAAATAAAAATAAAAATCTCTGAAGTCAGAAAATGCTTTCATTAATTTGAAAGTTTCCCCATTGGAAATGTATTATGATACATGAGCTGAAATTAAATTTTAGATAAATAATATGCATACACATTACTCAAATTATCAACACATGAAATCAAAGGAAAGTTTGTCTGTCTACAGGGCAGAATTTGGTCCTATGTTTACAAGTTATGGCCGGCATGTACACACAGATTGCAGTATTTGTGGGCATATAACAAATAAAGGCTCTAAAATAAAGTATATGTGAAAATCAGTACAAGCGTTTCCAAGTTTCCCTCACATGCTTAGACTCTAGACCAGCCTTGGCAACCTGCTCCATTGAAGCCCAGGGAGCAAATATTTTAGGCTTTTCAGGCCGTAAGATCCCTGTAACAAGTATGCAACCCTTCCCTTGTAACCACAAGCAACCAAAGACAATATGTAAATAAATGGAGGTGCCTGTGTCCAAATAAGGGTTTATTACAAAAACAGGAAGCAGCCCAGATACGGCCTGCAACAATCTCGTTTGGCTACTCTGCCCTAGACTCCCAATATTATCAGTGGATAATAGACCCCACACCCCAGATTCTCCAGCTCTATCCTGTTTTCAGTGTTCATCCCTTTCCACACCATGTGGCAACACTCTTGTCCCAAATCCTCGAGGTTATTTTGAGGCCAACACAGAGGTTTCTAAAAGCAAACCGTGCTTTTTAAATTCTGTGAATCACTCTGTCCTGGAAAGCTGCTAAGCTTCAATATTTCACAACTATTTCCAGCTACAAAAAACACAATACCCATAACTCCTTCCGCTTTCACAGAAACAGCTAAGAAATTAGTTTGTTTCATCATTTTGTCTATAACCAGACTTTCATAGGCTATTTGGGTCAGGTAAAGTTTTGTTCTTGCTTTCCCTTGCTTAAGAAAAAAAAAATCCATTAAAAAAGCTTCCACAGACATACTACAAACTCCATGGCTCAGTGGTTGCTTCATAATCTTTCTTGAGTCACGCACCCCTTTGAAAATCTCATGGAAGAATTAACCTTCTATCAGGAAAAAAGCCCATAAGAATTGAGTATAACTTTAAAGGGTTCATAGACCACTGACAGCCTATTCACAGACTACTGGGTGTCCAAGGACTTCAGGTTTCTCCTTATTCTCTCTCATTTTCTCCTTTTTCTTCTTTCTTCTCAGTCCTACCCCTAATTCTGTCTCCATCACCAGTTTCTTCCCACAGCACAATGGAAAGAACTCAAAGATACCTGGGCTTGAACCTTAGCTTACTCACTTAGTTTTGGCTTCCCTGTCTTGGGGAAAGAAGAACCCCAAAAAAGTATGAGTAGTGTCTGGGGAAAGCAGGCCAACTTTCTGGATCTTGCTGCCAGAATGAAAACTAAGGCCTAAGTTAGGCCTTAATTGGGTCTAAGATTATCTCTGGGGTTAACCACTGGGCCCATGTGAGCGCTCCCAACGACCCTTATATTTAGTTTAAATAGTCATATTGATGCTGTATCCCAAGTTTTCTGGGAATAATCACAACTCCAAACATCTGTACTGTAGTTACCGAAATATCCTTCTAAAGGCAAGATCATATGTTCTGATATTTGCTTTAAGGGGGAAAAAACTCATAAGTAAAGTCCATCTTGCTAGATAGTTCACTCTTCAGTTTTAGTTTCTTCAGAACTAGGGAACAGATTATTTTTCTATTATCTCTTACCTATATCCTTCCTTCTTTTCTTTTTTTTTTCTTTTTTTTTTAGAAAGGGCCTCTGTCACCCAGGGTGGAGTACAGTGGCATGATCACAGCTCACTGCAGCCTCGACCTCCCAGGCTCAAGCAATCCTCCCACCTCAGCGTCCCAAGTAACTGAGACCACACCTGGCTAATTTTTTTTTTTTTTTTTCTTTTAAGAGATGGGGTCTCCCTATGTTGCCAGGCTGGTGTTTCTTAATTTTTCAAATCTTTGATAAAGAAAGAACCAAGGGAAGAAAATGAGTCATTCATGTATTTACTCCACAAGTATTGAGCACCTAAATGTGCTGTGTACTGTTCCAAAAGTCAAACGTCTCCACTCTGATGGGAAAAAAAAGATGGCCGGGTGCAGTGTCTCACGCCTGTAATCCAGCACTTTGGGAGGCCGAGGCGGGTGGATCACTTGAGGTCAGGAGTCTAAGACCAGCCTGACCAATGGTGAAACCTCGTCTCTACTAAAAATACAAAATTAGCCAGCTGTGGTAGCACATGCTGTAATCCCAGCTACTTGGGAGGCTGAGGCAGGAGAATCACTTAAACCCCGGAGACGGAGATCACAGTGTGCCAAGATCGTGCCATTGCACTCCAGCCTGGACAACAAGAGCGAAACTCCGTCTCAAAAAAAATAAAAGAAAGAAAGAAAAGAAAAGAAGAAAATGAAAAAGACAAAATAAATTCATAAAATGTATAGTATGTTAGGTAGCGATAAGTACTACACAAAAAGTAAAGAACAGGCCATGAACAGACACTGGGGGTTGGGGAATGAGCTGCAATTTTAAAGAGGTCAGGAAACACCTACTAAGAAGGTGACATTTGAGCAGAAGCCCAGTGACAAAGTGTATCAGACAATGTCACTGCTCCACTTAGGTCCCCTCCTTTCCCTTTTCTCCGTTTGTGGGCCATCCCTTTCCTACTATGGTGTGCTTTATTCCTAACATTCAAAACCTGCAGTTTTTCTTCAGAAGACTGCCTGGGGACAACACACAGCACCTCCCCAGCACTGCACTTGCCCAGTCGCCCCACCATAATCTCAAAGGCAGGGAAGAAACCAGGTTGGACTTGCTGGGCAAAACCAGAAAAAGAATGTACTGGAATCCCTTCCGAGGACTTCGTGTATCGTACATTAATCCTTTACATGTCCCTGATGCATATATATATGTGTGTGTGTGTATATATATGTGTGTATGTATATATAGATATATATAGATATATATATATTTTTTTTTTTGGAGACGGAGTCTCGCTCTGTCACCCAGGCTAGAGTGCAGTGGCGCCATCTCGGCTCACTGCAAGCTCCGCTTCTGGATTCATGCCATTCTCCTGCCTCAGTCTCCCCAATAGCTGGGACTACACGCGCCCGCCGCCACGCCCGGCTAATTTTGTTTTTGTAATTTTAGTAGAGACGAGATTTCACAGTGTTAGCCAGGATGGTCTCGATCTCCTGACCTCGTGATCCGCCCGCCTCGGCCTCCCAAAAGTGCTGGGACTACACGCGTGAATATTTTTAAAAAAGCAATTTCATGTACATTTTCTCAGGCACCACTCAAGCTGCCTGTCCAAAGGGCAGACGACCTCTCCTTTAGTCTTTCTCTTGAATATGCTCTTCAATTTCATTAATCTCTATTCATGGGTATAACAATATTGGAAAAATTGGACAGAGTAGCACTTGTTCCTGGCTTTGCAGACTAGAGATGCTTCTATTCCCTGTTGGCACACTCAGGATGAGGGCTAAGGGCAGCCCAAGAATTCAGCCTCTCTCTCTAAATGTCAACTGTTTTCAAGTAACGACAGGTCAGGGGTCCCATCTGTTCATTCTCCTCCACAGTGGCCCCACAATATCCGTCAGGTGTTTATGTATCCAAAGAGGAGGCTACTCACTCCATCTGGTAAACCAACATACTCATGATGTAGTGGAAAGAGCCCCGGAGTAGCACAGGGGGCTGCCTCAATACACACTTACTGAGCGTCTAACAGTGAATGAGTCAAGTCCTTCGCAGGCACTGGCAATGGGAAGATGACCAAAACAAACGGCTGAACCTTGCTTTCAAGGCCTTCATAAAGCACTGGAGATGACAAACACGGTCCGATACAAAGGGTCAGGTTCAGGACTCCAGTCACTATTATCAAAGAGCCACGGGAATACAAAGGAAGGATTTACTAGCGGGGGAAGTTCCTGGAGGGCATCACAAAGAGACCTCTGAGCTGGATCCGGAAGGACAGATGAGTTTAAGCTGAAAGTGGGGACGGTCGTTCCCGCTGGCGGGAACCGAAGGAGCCAAGGCAGCTTTGGGGCGGAGACCAGGTGGCACCCGCGTCGCTGCAAGGACACACAAGCTGTTGTAAGAGGGTCAACCTCTCCGGGCCTTGGCTCAGAAACCTGGGACGATTACACTCTAAAAGCGCTTGGAAAAACTGCAAAACTCGTACTGCTTTTCGCAAAAGCTACTACCGAGCCGCGAGCGCAGGAAGCCCTGCGAGGCGTCTGCGAGGACGCAAACGCCGCGAAACGAGTCCTCCACGCCTCCATCCCCGGCATAGTGAAGTGTAGTCCTCTGGCCCACAGCCGAAAGGAAAGACCCGGGTCGGGGAGGGCCCCTCCAGGGGCGGGCTCAGCCGGAGTCTGCCCGAGCTGCGCGCGGCCACGGTGGTTCCGCGGCCTGGCGCTAAGTGCCTCCCGCCGTCTCCCACTGCAGCCCCCACCGCCCCTCCGCAAGGCCCGGCGCCTCCCGCCACCTCCTCGGTTGCTGCGGCCGCTCCAGCTCCTCACAGCCGTTAAACCCAGGCCTATCCCGCGGTCGGTTCTCTTCGGCTCTCTTCGCCGTGACGAATCGGCGCCCGGCTAGGAAAGTATCCAAATTCGGGGAGTTTTGAGGAACCAATGGGGCCTGAAAAAAATCCCAGAGTGTGCTAAGCATCACCGCATCCTCACTAGAAGGTTTATTTTTTCCAAAGAGGGTCGGGTGGGGCCCGGAAAAAAAAAATTAAGAAGAGTGTGGAAAGTGCGAGTGCGGAAGCTCCGGACGCGAGGGGCGGGGCGTGCGCGGGACAAAGGGAAGCGAAGCCGGAGCTGCGGGCGCTTTTACTGCCCGCGGGTGAGTGTTTCCAAGTGGGCCGGACCGGGTCGGTGGGGGCAAGTCGTGGTGTCCCCGCTTGGCTGAACTCCGAGTTCCCGGGGGTTGCTGGGGTTCAGGCTTGGCCGTGGGGCCACAGCCGGGAGCCGGTTGCGGCCTCCTTGAGGCCTAGCAGAGCGAGGGTTGGAAGGGAGTCCCATCTGGGGCCCCCTCCTTGGAGGCAAGGCCGGTCACCCGAAATTGGTCAAAGCACCTGTGCATACCTTGTTTTAGGGGAGTTGCTAGTAAAGTACGTTCTCCGAGACAATGAGAGCGACCTCAGGAAGCCCGCGGGCGAGGCAAGTCCGTGGTTCTCACCCCCAGGAATAAGGTTCCCCCATTGGTTCAGGCAGCGACCTGAGGACTCAAGATGTGGCTTATGGAGACGAGCAGCGCTCTGAAATAGTTTGGCCTGGGTTTGAAACCCAACTCTGGCACTTCCTGGCTGCATATGGCTTCAGACAAGTTGTTTAGACTCTCCGAGACTCCCTTGTTTCATCTGTAAAATGGGGATAGCTGTACATATCAAGTACTTGTGACTGTTAAGCGAAATAGGGTCCTAAGCCTACCCCGTATAAAGTATTTCTTGAACAAATATTTATCGGGTATTTATTTTTATGCCAGGCACCAAGGATGGATCCAACGGTGGACAAATGTACAAGCCCACTCTTAAATTTTATGTTCTAGCAAAGGAGAACCCTAATTTTAAAGTATTAACAATGAAGTATAACGTACAAGGAGCTTATGGCAGTTGTCAGGGTCCCCTGCAGCGAGGCCTGCTGGATGTTGACAGTTCCCTTAATGTGAGCAGAAAGGAAATCTACACCAGAGTCAAAGGTTTCTGACTGTTCTTTGAAAGACTCAGGTTGGACCATTGAGAAAATGAACTGTTTCTTTCCACACCAGGACTCATTCCTTACGCTCCAGGGAATTTCCTTAAAATGAGTAATAGAAGTGAAAAATCGGATCTATTCCACATAACTTTGGATGCAAATACCTCCAATAGTCATAGAAGTTTATTTGCCTTCTTTCTAAAGATGAATTTTTGTCTTTTTGTACCTCACTATTTGTGATGTATGTTGATGTAAAGAACAAGCTCACATGGGCCTGATTATGTTGTGAGCTGGTAATACTAGGAAAAAATTTCCTAAGAATTGAGCTGGGTCCTGCCATGGTCCCTGTTTCCAAGTAGCATACAATCTAGCCATATTGACAAGTTAAAAAAACTTACAATAATATCATAGATCTGTGTAAACTGTATAGGAATACAGATGGGGAAGCAATTAATTCTGCCCAGGTAATGTATCAAGAAAGTTTCATTGAGAAGAAAAAATTTGAAATGGGCCGTGAAGGACGAGTAAGAATTTTTCAGGTAGACTCTCAAAATTTATTCCCAGCATTTATGAAGCTTTTTACCACTCTTAAGAGAATGCGAAGTTCATTGTCATACCAATTACCTTTTGCACTGCTTCCAGGAATAAAATGCTGCCAATTTTAATAAAAATTGTTATCCCAAAAACATAGTACAGTTGCTGATCAAGGAGCTGTCAGTATCTGGTAGGCCTTGTTGGGTTGGACTCTAATACATCACTTTGTATTCTCATCCTTGTATCAGTCCGATGAAATGTTTACATGGCGTCAGCAAAATGTTTTCCATACAAGAGGTAGCTTAGTATCCCAAGAAAAAACCTGAAAGTACATTTCTAAATATCCCCAGTACTTTATTTTAGTCATTTAATTCTAATCAACCAAATCTCCTATAAGAACTAGTTAAAATATGCAAAAGGCTTAATTACTAGGAATTAAGGTGAAGTAATTTTACTCAGAAATACCAATTAAATTACCCTATTCATTAGGAAAACATTCTCGTATGCTTGCTGAGTTTTGATTCTCTTTTTTTTTCCTTTTTTTTTTATTTTAGTGTCTCAGATTCATTCTTAAGGAACTGAGAACTTAATCTTCCAAAATGTCAAGTAAGTTTCAATTTTTATATTTATCAATCTATGTTAATAAGAGACTAATGCCCTAGCAAGTGGGAATTCCAAAATACTCTCATTTTTTTTTTCTTCAAAACAGGACCATTGGTAGTTTTGTTGCATAGTATTATATCTCAGTTGTTTACAAGAAGTTATTTATTTTCTTTCAAACAGAAAGACCATCTTATGCCCCACCTCCCACCCCAGCTCCTGCAACAGTAAGTTTTAATTTTCTTGTTAATGTAATAGCCAAGTCTGGCCTTGATACAAAAACCCAGATGTCTTCCAGTGACAGTCACTCAATCATCACAGCAACAGGATGAAATTCAGCTTAAAAGAAAAAAAAAAAAAAAAAAAAAAAAAAGCATTTCCTACTAAATAAAATAATTATTTGCATCTTTCCTTGAACCAACCCCAACATTTAAAGAAACAATACTGTAAAACTCCAACCTCCTATGCTCAGTTTGTTTTGTTTTTTTCTTTGCAAATGGGAAATAAGTGAAAGTTTTACCATTTCTTTCTTATTAATCTTCACTATTAAGAGTCTTTAAGTTGTTACTGAATGAATGCTCATTCTGGCTTTTTTGTTAAACCTAACCTTCAACTGGTTATGTTTTTCTCTCCTTTCTTGTCTCTCTATAAAATTGTCCTATTAAACGATAAAGCTTCTGAAACTATACTCATTGTAAGTATTTTCAAGCTGTTCAAGTAAAGATTTCGTTATCCATGGGTCAGATCTTGCTACTGAATCTTTTTCCACTCCATAAATTATATTTTATTGGTTTGGAAGTATGTATGTTTTGAGGTATTTAAAAAGTAGTTGTGAACATGTTTTTCACCCAGCAAGCTCTGGCCCAGCTTGGTCAGCATGTAAAATAATTTTCCAACCTACAAAACAGATTTAGCAGTAACTGTTCAGGTCTTGCTGAAATGGCTTCCTTGTTGGTTTTTTGGGAGGGGGGGTTTTGTTTGTTTTTTAAAAAACACTGTTAACATGACCAAATTCTACAAAATTAGTTCTTTAATATTAATCCTTCCTTCCATACCCCCTACCACCTAAATTTCAGGCTAGTCTACTTTTTACTACTAATTAGGTCCTTGTGTAATTTTGTTTTCTCCGCTAGAAAACTATTCATATTTACTAACCCTCAGATGTATGTTTTAGTTACATTTATCGACAATTTGTTTTTCTTTAGTGAGATACTTTTAAAAAGAGATACTGTACCATATGTTCTCATTTCAATTTATATCATATACAGGCTCTAAAGTTAATTCCAGTAGACCGTAAAGTCCTGTGCTTGGTTTCTTTTCTTTCTTAAATCAAAGAACATTTGTTATGACCATCTCCATGGCATTCCGCTAGTGGCTATACAGGTGGAGCTGAACAATTGAGAGTCTGACCTCAAAGAGCTAACCATGTACTTCAGCTTTGGAAATGGTATAATTACAATGTTTTGCTTTCCATTTTTTTTTTTTTTAGTTCCCTTATTTTTATAACATTATTGCCTCATAATGTTGAACAGTGATTCTTATTATTTATGCAAACTTTGAAGGTGTCATTTTGACATAAATACTGCCTCTGACGATGTGTCATATCTTGAGGACAAACTTGATTTTTTGAGATTAAAATATTTCAAAAATGAAGTGTCCCCTTATAACTTACTATGCGTAAAAAGGATTTTTTTTGCCTTTAGTTATATTTTTGTGCCATTATAATTTCACATTAACACACAAAATATAGAAAACTAGGGATTAAAACATCCAACAGAATGGATACTAAATTAATTATTCTCCTTCCTTCTTTCCATTACTCCTACCACCACCACCATCACCACCACTACCAACACTATCACCACTATCACCTCCGCCACCCAAATGTACCACTCCAAGTAATATACACTTCTTTCATGCCTTTGATACTTCATCTGTGTTTTGCCTACTTAAATATGCTTAATTTGCGTCTTTTCTAACTGTATAGACTAGAAATTGATCAGCCGTTCTCTTTTCTCCTAAAGAGTATCAAATGTAATATCTGCTTAAATGTCTTTCTTTTGGGTACTAAGGATATGTGCAGCGGCATGTTTTAGGAAATTGTGTTTATTTTGTAACAGCTACAGCTTAGTTGGAATGTGTTAAGTGTATTTTACATTATACAATTAAGGACCGATATTGTTAATTGCATGTAAAAATGAAATTGTCACATATTTTGATTGAGCTTTACAAGGTAAAATACCCGAATTTTGGTCTCTCTCTACTATATTCTTTCTATACATTATGCCTTGGTTCTCATGAACATTGAGTGTCATTGTATTAGCCCCAAGGCCACTGCTATCTAAGAGCCCATTTGTGATTACATCAACACGTAATTCACAAAAACCAAGAGTTCTGTTGCTGAAATGAGCAGTTGTGTTTTGAAAGGGTGAGAGCTATCAGGAAAGTAGATGAAAAAAAATTCAAGTCTATCAACTAGAAAAGTAGTTCACATTGAGACTAAATGCAGAAATGTTTTCATGATTGACCTGTGGAAGATGGATCAAAGAAGAGATGGAAGAGAAATCCTATAAAAGAATGACCGGGTTAAAAAGATCAGATAGTACCCCAGAATGAAATCCATGCATTTCTTACAAGTCTTTGTTTTAAATCATGTATGTGACATCCATCAAATCCAGCATATGTTCTTTTCAATTGACAAATCCTGGCTTCCCGATTTGAGTCTCTTCTCATTTCTCACATTATATAAAATGATTTAAAACTGTCTTTGAAATCAGATCCATTTCTTGTTTTTGTTTTTAGTAGATGAATACATTGGTGGCATCCACATGTCAAATAAATTGTGTTTTGTTTTGCATGTAGTGTTTTCAGAGTTCTAGTTTATCACACTTTAAGCCTTCCTATCTCAGTCTTCATATATTGCTAAGTTGTTATATCCTGTTGTTGACCATAAAGTAAATCCTGAATGTTTTAAACACTTCAGTGTATTGCTTTCCTCCAGAAACACAACACACATTCACAGTCACACAAACACCCCCAGTCCCTGCAAAAAAGAAAGAGAGAAACAACCAAAAGACACTGCAGACAGGTTTCTCAATGAAAGAAAAATATTTAATTTCCTCAGTGGAAAAAAAGAACAATTACAACACATCATTGCTTGTTTAAATTCAGGTTGCTTTTGCATGCCATATGCAGATCATTTTTCATTTCTGTGTTTTCCTCGTTTGAGCTCATTTCTCATTCGTGTTTTTGTCTCATTTGTTTCCATCAGCAAATGCCCAGCACACCAGGGTTTGTGGGATACAATCCATACAGTCATCTCGCCTACAACAACTACAGGCTGGGAGGGAACCCGGGCACCAACAGCCGGGTCACGGTAGGAGAATCAACTATTACAGCATCCGGCAAACAACTGGAATTGACCAGAAATGCCTTCAGAATTAGGTCTTTTTGAATCATAAGCACAGCCATTTAAAAAAATTTTTTTAACCTAGCTTTTTGACTATTTTCAACATTCATTGTAGCATCTCACACTGAAAAAATAAATAGTGAGATCTGGAATGTATATGGAAGAAAAGAAAAATCCATTCTGTTTGGTGGTTGGTAGGGATAAAGCCTTGAGCACTTGATGCTTATACTGTATGTAAACAAACAGAATTTCTTCTGGTAAAAATACCCTTTTTGGCATAAAGAGTATTTTTCGTTTTTATAAGGTGATTGGCATTAGTCTCAAGGATTCAGTTTCTAGTAAAGGCTGGGCTTTCAGACCTGGCTTTTTCAGGGCTGGAATGCTTTTGGCTGATATACCATTTTGAATCCCTACCCATAGTTATTTGTCTTTTGGATTTAATAGTTGACCTTCTAACTGAGACTCATTGCTCTACAGTGAAAAAGAGAAAAACGTTTTAATGTCACCTGAAAGAAATGCAGAATGAAGATTGAATGAAATTAATTTGAAGTATCAAACTAAATACGTACAACGAGAAGTGCATTTCTAATCCTTAGTATAAGAGATATGATTTCTGAAACTTAGGATGTTTCATTTAAATGATCAGCCTAAGATTTCAAAATTGGATGATACACTTCAAAGCTTTTAGTTTAGAATCATCTTAAATTTCATTCAAAAAAGTTTAAGTGCCAAAAAAGCCAATAATTATAAAAATGACTTACTAAAGATAAAAAATCCAAAAGTCAAATACTACATGGAATGTAGTGTTGCTGAGAATTTATATAACCCAGAATGGCTGTAAAGTTTTTAATACCTGGTTTTTGTTTGCTGTATTCATAAATAACAAGTGCCTTCTATTAATGTAACTTCAAAAAAGCCCTCTCACCCTGTAGTCAAGCTAGAAATGAAAGTTTGTAGCTATCAAATGAATGTCTATCTTGATAAGCATATTGCTTAGCTTGATAGGTTTTGTTTGTCTAAATTTTTCATTGTTTCTGCATAATTTGTACTTCATAAGCATATCAAGTTTTATGTGCCATGCATATTTCATGGTATCTGAAAAGAATTCTGACAAAGTGTGTGTATGTATGCATTTCACAATGCATACAATTTTTATGTGCATCAATACATGTTTTTCCCTGGCCTAAATGTGTTGTTTCACAAGTGTAATGGGTGGCAAGGTTTGCAGATGATAAAGAACATTTTAATTTAATGAACAGAATCAATCTTGGATCTTCATGTTAATGCAGAAATTTTTTCACGGGCAGTAAACAAGAATGATTGCATTTAATAGCTCTATACAGTCACCTCTTGATTATCTATGTTAATGGAATACAAATGGTAACTATAATATTACAATAATTTGTCTTTTGGTTTTGTGTAAGCATTTTGTTCTTAACTTGGATGTAGCTGTGGAGGATTCTCTGTTAAAAATGTGAGATTGTTCGATGGAGACTAGGAAGAGAAAGTGCACTCCCTATCTGAAATCACTCATCTGTTTCTTCTCATTCCTTCTTGGCGAATGTTAAGAACTGAGCATTTGGCGTGGACACTAGCTACATGGTAGATGAAGTGTAGAGAGGTGCGGGGCATGGAAAATTTGGTGTTTTGGTCCTTTGTGGAGATTTACTTTGTATTATTGTCCTCTTAACACCAGGTTGAAGTGTAATCAAACTGCTATATGAAGAAGGGCCTAGAAAATGTGGAGGTTTTACACTACTTGCCCTGTTTTCTGTATCTAGTTTAGGCTGTTAGGACTCAGTGGCTCTGATTTTGACCATAATAAAAGCATTTCAATTTTAATAAAAGCATTGTGACCCTAGATGCATTACTTTTAGGGGTGAGGAGAAGCTCCCGTTTGGTATTATTGTGTGCATATTGCGTTAGTGGTTTTCAAGGAATGAGTCTGTGAAGCCCTGTCCAGTAGCTCCTGGTAGGCTGTAGAGAACATTGGGTTTCCCTGGTGACTCCGGTATACTTGGATAGTTCTCAGACAGTAAATACTTTATATAGCATGTCAAGACCTTTTGGAGTGCTTATGATAGCTACAAGATGGAATTCATTCCTAGTCAGTTCTTCATTCAGATGATGATTAGCATTCTCTTAAGTACAGGTGTGAAAACACATTGAGACAAAAATGTCTTTAAAAACAGCCTGTTTCTGTACATTAATAGAAATTCTGTCCCAGAATAAAGCTCTTAAATAAGTTCCTGCTAGAGAAACAGCTGAGAATTACAAAAGAAACAACAACAAAAAACTGAGTAGCCAAGATAAATTTCACAAAATCGTGAATTTTATTCATAGGCAATTTCCTAAGACCTTGCTCTTCTGTAAGCCCAGTTCTACCCACCTCTCCGTTGGAAATTGAAAGCAGAAAATTGAAGAGTTGCTGCTAGAGGTGGATTTCCTGATAGTAGCAAGGAAAGAAACAGTTCAAAAATGGAAACACATTCTCCAAAAGCATAGCCATAGGCCACTGAAGGAGCCAACAACAGATTTTCGCATTTCACACACCCGACAGAGGGTTACAGCACAGCAAAACAGTGGTTGTTTCCAATTGAATCTTATCCAGAAAGGGTCTAAAGTATGTTCAACTTTTTTTTACAGAAATGTTTAAGACATTGTAGAAAGATGTCTGTCTGAGACATTGAATAAATTGGAGGTGTGTAATGATATAAATCTTTACTATCCTGCAAATCATCTGGAATTTTAACTTTATTATTGTTTTGGGGTGTTTTTTTAGTTTGGGTTTTTTGTTGTAAGTTGACTGGTCTCAATATATAGATGATATGTGTACCTTTCTTTGGGAGAAAGAAGGAAAAATAGCAAATCCATTAATGTAAATGTGATTCTTTGAAAAATATCAAAGCAAATACTACTATGTTTTTAAAGTGTTTTAATTCATACTTAAAGCTCGAAAGCATAGGCATTTTGGAATTCTTTACCTCTTTAATTTCAAAAAAATTTTGACAGTAGTCTTAACCACCTCAGTTATGGGCATAATTCCAACCTTATTTGTAACCCATTTCATGGAATTCTGAAGGTTTGTGTTGGTTATGAGTTGGAAATGCTTTCTAATAACTATGTGTGAAGAAGCAGACTTTTGTGTGTCTGTTCCTCTGAATCCGTAAGGTTAGTCTTATAGGAATTCCCTTTCCCCTTAAAAGAACTTGTACAAACCCTGATACAGGTTTCCCTTTATTGGCTGCTACCCCACCACTTTTGATAGTTTCCATGCCCCCTGGCCATCTCACTCTCTTACCCACTGCTGGCCAAAAACAGTGTCTGTCTACCTGGGCACTAGCATGAGGTGTAGTAAGAATGCATGGAAGGAATGGAAAGAGAGGAAATACTGCTTCCAAGGCGAAATTCTTTCTAATAACTTCATATATGAAGAAGTAGAGTTACAGGGATGGAGAGAGACCCTTGTAGGAAGAGGAAACATTTCTTGATCATAGTGGAAAAGGACACAAACATGCTAATCCCTGAGCCCTCAAATGAAAAATAAGGTTATGATTGGGGTCCCAGCCCAGAGTGGAGGAGTATCTCTGGGGTTTTATCATAGCAACAACAGAAGGGGAAGCGAACAAAATGTTACTTTAGTTTTCTTATAAGGATTTGCCAATCCTGTCTTTTGATAATTAGAATAAAGCCAGCACTTCATTTCTCCAGCCTAGCAGGGAGAGTCAATATCAGAGGAGATCTCCTGAAAATTTGCAAATTGTCTGAAATAGCAATGATTTTTCTTATTCTGGGTCTTTAATCAAATGCAGTCATGTATATTAAGAGGAGACTAAAAAGTTCAGAAATAAATACTTTTAGATGGGTGTTATCTGGGTGGTCTACCAGAAGCTGTCTGAAATCTCACCTAGACTTTAGACCACAAAAAAAACTGATCACTTTATCTTTCTCTTTCCTTCTTTTTTTATTTTTTCTCTCACCTATTTTTGCTTTACCTTTTTAAAAAATATTTTTCAGTCTTCCCTCCCCCTCCTTTTCTTCTGTCTCTCTTTTCCTGCACATCACATCTTTCCTTTTCCTCTGTCTTTCCCATAAAACCAAACATTTTTAATGGAATGGAACTTCTTGGTACAACACCTCAAAAATAACAATCAGGCCCCATATCTGCCACTTCTCTGTTCTGGCTAAACTTGTTTGCTTTTACACTGTGATTAGGACTAAGGACACAAAAAGGTGTGACTTTCATTCACACTTCTCCTTCCCCTTTACAAGAAAACCACTAGGTAACAGACAGAACCTTAAGAGAAATAAAATCTCTAGCCTGGCAAAGGAGGTAAAGTGGTTTGTTATTTCACTAATTGTTTTTGAACCTGAGAAGTTGTTTTTGTGGTGATATTGGGAGTACATTCCTGACATAGTGCTAATAGGTTAAGGCCCCTGTAGACAGTGTGAGAATGGTAAGTGTTAAGGGTTCAGATCCTGCTGCAGATAATCAAGTGTTGACTGTATGTGTAATGGTAATTGAGCAGAATAAGAGGGTGCCAGGTAATGTCCTGAATGTGAGACGGTTGATATATAACCATATATTTTCAATGTATGGGTTACTATGTAATATTTTATTTGTTCCTGCAGCCAGGTTGTCAAAGCATTGGCAATAAACTGCTAAGTAAAACATTTAAAAAGTTTGTGCTTAAAGTCATTTTCTTTTGAACATTTCTGAATTTGCAGTGATAGCTATTTTCAGTGGAGAAAATATTTGGACGAGTAGAAGAAAGGCGCATTAGAATTTTTTAAGGGACTCTCTTTTCAGTTTGCCGGTGAACTCCTTACAGTTGAATAATGAATGTATTTAACTCTTTTGTAGGCATCCTCTGGTATTACGATTCCAAAACCCCCAAAGCCACCAGATAAGCCGCTGATGCCCTACATGAGGTACAGCAGAAAGGTAGGCGCTTAGGACCTGGAAAGGAGTGAGGACACTGTCTTTGCTGCTTCTTTCTTTGCATCCAATTTTAGATTGGCTTAGCCAGCTTTTCTGTGCATATTCAGAGGAAAGGACCAAAAAAAATACAGTTTTTAAGGCAATTAGTTCTGATTTCAGAATTCCAGAACTAAAATCCAACAAGAGGAGCATGATTAAATAAACTGTTAAAACCCTTAAGATAGAATGTTCTGTGGCCATTAAAGTCATGTCTTTTGGAGAATATTTAATGACATGAGGAAAATATTAAGGAGGACTACAAGACTACATGAATTAATATCTCATTTTTATAAAAATAATGGCAACCACATGTTAGTTTGAAGGGGGGAAACACAGAAGACAGTGGTTATCTCTAAGCAGTAAGCTTATGGTAGTTTTTATTTTCTTTTCCTCAAGTTTTCCTTTTTTTTTTTTTTTTTTTGGTGATGAACTTACATTACTCTTAAAATTTTAAAAATAGCCAATATCTTTATTAAAAGGCAGAGCATTATAACCATTACCTAGAAATTTTAAACCTTTTGATCTTGACTATTACATTGGTTTTTGATAATATGATGTATTGTGTTATGCAAATTAAGCACTTCTAAATTCACGTGAACTTTTAGTGACATAGACTGTGTTATTGAAGTAATTCATCTTAAGTGTCTGTAGTGATTGGAGATATTCTTGCATATCACATTGAAGTATTTATAAGTGAGTGACATGATGTCTGAGATCTATCTTAAAATAATCCAGTAGGGCAAAGATAACCTGAGGTTGGTCAGTCGTTGATCATTGTTGAAGTAGGCTGATGAGTACATAGAAATTTGATACTGTTTTCTCTGCTTTTTATGTTCAAAAGTTTCCATATTAAAAAGTATTTTTAAAGGTCTATACATTTAGACATCAGTATTAACATTTCATCTGTTTTCTTTTTAAGGTCTGGGACCAAGTAAAGGCTTCCAACCCTGACCTAAAGTTGTGGGAGATTGGCAAGATTATTGGTGGCATGTGGCGAGATCTCACTGATGAAGAAAAACAAGAATATTTAAACGAATACGAAGCAGAAAAGGTAGGATAGGGGCTCACAGTGGGATAGATAATGTGTAAAGTACATAAACATTGGCTTACTATTTATAAAAGAAACATAAGATTTGGTCAGAAGGCTGATGCTGTACTGAGGCTCTGTCTACCTGAGTCAAGTCAACTTCTCAAGGCCTCAGATTTCTTGTCTGTAAAAAGGAGATAATTATCCGAACACCCTGTTTACATCATATCTTTTGATATTCAAATGAGATAACATAAGTCTGCATTATAACCTGCAAAATGTTAATTATAAAACCAAAAAACATTTGAATTTCAGATAGAGTACAATGAATCTATGAAGGCCTATCATAACTCCCCCGCGTACCTTGCTTACATAAATGCAAAAAGTCGTGCAGAAGCTGCTTTAGAGGAAGAAAGTCGACAGAGACAGTCTCGCATGGAGAAAGGGGAACCGTACATGAGCATTCAGCCTGCGGAAGATCCAGATGGTAAAAGAAAAAAAGTGGGGTTTTGTTTATGCTTTCTCTGAGAGTTAGGATATAAGTAATCTCTTAGGTGTGTTTTATTTCTTATCCTAAATGGAAAAGAAAGCACAATTTATGTGTCATCTCAGTATTTTGGTTATATTGAGTAAGATTTGTATGTGAATTTCCCACAAGAAAAAGAAATATCCTTTTGAGTGCAGAAACTGGCAAAAATTATTTATTGTTTATCAAAATCTTTGTACTCAAAATTCATGAAAGGTTTTTAAATCACAATCAGGATTTTGCCTCATCTGCTTTTACAAAGCTAAATGCATTCTAGTTATATCCTGTTTTCTTACTGGTTCACTAAATTCGCTGAATTAAAGGCTCTTAAGGGAGAAGCTAATGAGTATGTGGAAGCATTATGAAGTTTCCTTTCCATTTAATTCAGAAATCCAATAAGAATGTATAAATATAGCGCATGCTACTGTTTGTATGGGTGTACATGAGGGTACACCCATACAAATTTTATACATGCACACAAATAGCAGAGCTTCCTAATTGCCATTCTGTATGAGTAGTTAGCAGGTGTGCTGATTGTTCTGGTCTTGTGCAGCCAGGCAGGGTCTGAAGCTGCAAGGAGACCCAGAGATAGCCACTTGCAGTGTGAACACACTCAACCACATATCTAATGTGCTGTATAAATACTAATAGTTTCTCTGTGTACTGCTATGATATGCAAAAGGTTAGAAGCTCTAGCTACAAGTGACAAAAACAGCAGGAAAATGATTTAGGATCCCATCTTAAAGTTGCAGTAACAAAGAGGAAGGCTATAAGAACTTTAAAGACAGAATCAATGAGGGAGGAAGCAATAATAGCACCTGAAGACAAGAATAAGTTGATAAAAGTGGGGAAAAACAGAAATCATTTTTTTAAAATAATGGACTGGAATATTGTCAAATGTTCTCATAAATACAGACAGTGGAATGTAACACTATAGAGAATAGAATATGGAATAGAAACAGTATTGAGTGTTAAGCAGAATCAGCAGTGCTAAAGACACACTAGCATTCTCACACTTTAATTACTCAAATGGGATGATTAATGCAAGAGAAACATACAGAAGTGAAAAACAGAAGATGATCCAGGCTACAGATATTGGGAGGATGGGGGTCAGTACAAGAGGAAACAAAGGCTAGCAACATAAGTAGAAAATAACTAAAGCTTTCATTAACACCATGAACATTGAGAAGGACTGAAGAGATTCACTCAGAAACAGTCTCAAACTTGGGCCTATTATGTTTTTAACTTTAAGGGTGGGTCTTAAAGTTGCTAGTAAGTAAGTTCAGGTAGTAATTAAGATGCCAGTATGAGAATGTCTTTAGCATGCCAGTATGAAAATGATTAGAAAGAGGAAGACTTGGGAGGTGGAAATGTATGTCAAATGTACATAAGAGAAAGGTGGCATCTGCATGAAATGCAGCAGCTACTGTCTTCTTTAACAGAGGACTGTCAAAAGATAGACATGACCAGGCGCCATGGCTCACGCCTGTAATCCCAATACTTTTGGAAACTAAAGCAGGAGGATCGCTTGTGGCCAAGAGTTTGAGACCAGCCTGGGCAACACAGCAAGACTCTATCTCTACAGAATACTTAAAAATTAGCTGGGCATGGTGGCTTGTGCCTGTAGTCCCAGCTGCTCCAACTGAGGCTGAGGTGGGAGGATCAATTGAGCCCAGGAGTTCGAGACTGCAGTGAGCTATGATCATGCCACTGCCCTCCATCCTGGATGACAGAGCAATACCCAGTCTCAAAAAAAAAAAAAAAAAAAGAGGGCATGTGCAATTATCCACACAAAACAATGAAGGCTTTTGTTCAGTGAGAGCCTCTTCATGGGATAAATAGCTGTTCAATTAGATCATAATTAGAAAAGCCATTCCCCAAAAAAAGGAAGCAGATGACTTAATGCAAGGAAGAACAAGCCCAAATTCTTAGACCTTATTACCCCATCTGTGGTCAACACTGGGGCCATATAAATGAAAGAAGAAAATAAAAAATAACAACAAAAACAGATAACTTAGAGGTAGCACAGATATACCATATATAACCCTAAAGGTGAAAAACTCTTAAAAGTAGAAAGGTTACAGTTTTTAAAAAACTGTATCTTACCTAATAGTTTTAATTTCAGAAGTTTATTTCCTAAAGAAATTACTCAAAAGGAAACAAAAGTAATTTTTTTAACTGTTTACAAAAACAACAGTTTTTAGCTGTAGTATTTATGATAATGAGAATTTTAGGAACTACTTAAGTGCGAGACAATAAGAGAGGTGCTAAACTGACATAGGAGCACCACAAAGGCCTCTAACAGGGTTCCCTCTGTAACAGGCTTCCCTCTGTAACAGGCTTCCCTCTGTAACTCAACAGGTTCCTCCTGTAACAGGCTTCCCTCTGGTAACAGGCTTCCTCTGTAATAGACAGCTTCCCTCTAACAGGCTTCCTCTGTAACAGGCTTCCTCTGCAATATATTTCCTCTGTAATAGGCTTCCCTCTGTAACAGGCTCGCCTGTAACAGGGTTTCCTCTGTGGCAGGCTTCCTCTCTGTGGAAACAGGCTTCCGTCTGTAACAGGCCTGGCCTGTAACAGGCCTCTGTAACAGGCTTTCCTCTGTAACAGGGTTTCCTCTGTAACAAGGTTTGCTCAAGTATGGTTCCTCCCTGTCTGGTGGGACACTGAGGTGATTAAGTGGGTCAAAAAGGAGCATTTGTTTTAGTATGTATTGCTACAGAGAAAGCTTTTTTTTTTCTCAATGAGTTAGTTTAAAGAAAAATATTAAGTAAACAGTAGTACAGGCTGTTAGTAGATATATGAAAAACTATGAAGGCGATAGAGCAAAGACTGAAATTAAGGAAACACTAGATACCTATTAAAAATAAGCGTATAGGATGTGCGCAGTGGCTCACACCTGTAATCCCAGCACTTTGAGAGGCCAGGATGGGCGTATCACGTGAGGTCAGGAGTTCAAGACCGCCCTGGCCAACATGGTGAAATCCTATCTCTACTAAAAATACAGAAATTGGCTAGGCGTGGTGTCATGTGCTTGTAATTCCAGCCACTTGGGAGGCTGAGGCACAAGAATCGGTTGAACCCGGGAGGTGGAGGTTGCAGTGAGCCGAGATTGGGCCACTGCACTCCAGCCTAGGTAACGGAGTGAGATTCTGTCTCAAAACAAAATGAAACAGAAGCATATAAACCAGACCCGTACAGCTGGCTAAGTGTAAACTGACAAAAATTAAATTTGGAATCAAAACATTTATTTTTCTTCTATAAAATTCCTTGAGGGCCTGGGAAACTGAATATTGTTAGAGATGATGTTTCCTCTGCTGTGATAATTTTACAAATTGGCATTTTCATAAAGTCACTGCCCAGTTCATATGTTGTTCGTTAGTTGTTACATGCCTTAAGTCACTACCAAAAAAGTGAAACATTGGGCAGAATTTCAATTACTGCCATCACATGCAGCCTTCACATTGATTCCAAAGCCAGAAGACATGTTGTATCTCATTTATGTTTTAGCCAAAGCCTTCTCAGACACACATCATCACTTAAAGACTGTGAGATAAATTAGTACCTTGGCCAGTGAACACATTACGTCCTCTGTATGGTTTTTATCAAGTAACTGCCCAGTGCTCCCATGACGCTGGTCAGGTCCCTTTGTTAGGCCAGCAAGGGCCATAGTTCTTTGATAATTAAGTGTTAACATGTTACACTCCTTTTTATGGTTACTGGTGACCTACTTTGCAGAACAATTTGTTCATTCCAGATTATGATGATGGCTTTTCAATGAAGCATACAGCCACCGCCCGTTTCCAGAGAAACCACCGCCTCATCAGTGAAATTCTTAGTGAGAGTGTGGTGCCAGACGTTCGGTCAGTTGTCACAACAGCTAGAATGCAGGTCCTCAAACGGCAGGTCCAGTCCTTAATGGTTCATCAGGTAAAGTCATAAAACATTCATTTCAATAAAATGGGCCTATACCACAAATCCCAGCTGACATGATTCCTACACCATGCCTAAATGTAGCTGTTAAATATGTCAATCTAAACTGTTCCTGATTTGGAGAAGAGGTTTAAGGAAGTGGACCTTTCCCAAATGTTTAGCAAGTTTGTCATTAAAAACTATAATATAGAACCTTGTAATGGAAGGTATATTTGTTAAGAAATACATGTGAACTTAAGAATTTTGAGGCGTCCTATCAGTCTTTACTGCTCTGCTAAATACTTTTTCCAAAGGAATTGCTCAGGCCTGAAACAGTATTCTTTAACATTTACCTATTGATCATAATCATTTCTTTGTGCTGCATTTTGTATTTTTTAAATCTTAGCTAGACTCATGGAATAAATGATCTAAAGTTCAAAACATTATTTGGTACACTGTTTGAAAGTATGAACCATTAAAACAGGAGACATAATTGTGAAGCCTGATCCTGTCTTGCAGCGAAAACTAGAAGCTGAACTTCTTCAAATAGAGGAACGACACCAGGAGAAGAAGAGGAAATTCCTGGAAAGCACAGATTCATTTAACAATGAACTTAAAAGGGTATCTGTTTAATATGTTAACTATACTTTTATCACCATACCTGTTACTTTATTTTTCCTCATTCTTTTTTCCAAAATAGTGTTTTTATTGAATGTTGTTCACTTTGAAACAGGGCTAACTTTACTATATAACCTGCAAGATCTTTTTTTAATATAAAATTATTCCCATTCTCTTGACAAAATTGCAATAAATTTGAAATATCATGAAGTATATGCATATCTACTAGGCCTATAAATGCTAGAGCCCTCTGATATTTTAAACTCCCATACAGTCATTAACTACTTTCATTTTATTGTGATTTATTCATCAGATGTCTTCATTAAATGTAATTTATAGTTTGCACTTTGCATTCAGACAAGGAAATCTAGTTGGTAGCCCAGAATGTAAAATGGAAGCCTTATGTATACCCCAGAATTTTCACTATTTTGCCTCACCAGCTACTCTGAAATATCCCGTATTATATGACTGCTAGAGCAGTTTTCATTTCTTGTAGACCCAAGAGTTTCAGAGAAGACCTAGAACCACATTTTTTTGCGCACATACACAGACACACAGGTGTATAGATATATATATAGTTTATAGGCAAGGAAACCAACTTTTGAAAGAATATATCTGGCTCACAAATTATAAGGAAAAAACATTACCGAGTTCTGTTTTTTTCTGACTAGTTGTGCGGTCTGAAAGTAGAAGTGGATATGGAGAAAATTGCAGCTGAGATTGCACAGGCAGAGGAACAGGCCCGCAAAAGGCAGGAGGAAAGGGAGAAGGAGGCCGCAGAGCAAGCTGAGCGCAGTCAGAGCAGCATCGTTCCTGAGGAAGAACAAGCAGCCAACAAAGGCGAGGAGAAGAAAGACGATGAGAACATTCCAATGGAGACAGGTAACACACTAGCAACAAACGCAAAGGAAGTGCTAAGACTTTGTATGGCTGTCTTTAATTTAGGTTTTCCTTTCTAAGTGCAGGTATTCTGGTACCTGCCACTGAGGGTGATTCCGAGTACTAGATTTGACATGATACTGACATTCAAAATTTTAACCTTTAATGCTTACATTATTTATCAAGATGTGGTTATTACTGTTAAGATTAATTGTCTTTGGTGTCCTAGGACAGCATTCTGCAAAGTAATACCTGTAAGGCAATCCTGCCCATCACTTGTTTTTGTAAATAAAACTGGAACACAGCCACACTTGTTTGTTTACATACTGTCTGTGGCTGCTTTGGGGCTACAACAGTATAGTTGAGTAGTTACAGCAAAAACTGCCTGACCTGCGAACTCTGAAATATTTTCTGTCTGGCTCTTTACAGAAAAAAATTGCCAGCTCTGTCCTAGAAAAACCCTTACTTCTAGGTATACTGATTTTCCTGATTAAAAGCATCCCTCAAGGTAAAAAAATAAAATTAAAAATAACTTGTATAAATAAAACTTACATAAAGTACTGATTACATTGATCATCACTTGTAATTTTGAGATCACCTTACCTCATAGCACTGTTTTGACACTGCCTAGTACACTGTGTAAACAGGACTAAGCTAAAAGTAGTTATGGAAAACAAAACCAAAGGCTTCCTGGAGCATCGTTGCAAGAAGTGGGAGGAACAGTAGTGATACTTGGTTCTCAAATGGCAACCTCCGAGTGCCATACTTTGTACTCAAATGACAGCCATCTGGAAAACATGAATGGAATATAGATATCTTTACCAGGTATTTCTGCAAAATTTAATCCAGCAGATTAACATTTTAAATAGTCATATTTTAAGTTTCACTATCTGAGTCTCTTTCTGTTTTATATGAACGTGAATTCATTCATCTTAATGAATTTGGAGCATGAGCACATTTTTGTGGTTAAAACAAAAGCTTGAAAATTAAAATACTGATTTTTGCTAATTTTACAACTAGATGAACACTTAGTCCTTTGCCTCTGTTTTGGCATCTATGAATGGGGCATGTCTTATGCTTAAGGTTTGCAGGTCTTTACTCAGGTTCTGTCCTCCTAGTTCAAGGAAAAAACCTGAAGAAAATTGTTTGAGACTATTAGAGCTAAAACCTCAGGCTTTTAATTTCTTACAGGAAACAGCCCAGCATGACTTTAAACAAAGTGTCTAAAAGGTCAACCTTGTATTATTTCTACAACTGCTTTCTCCTTGTTTAATCCATAACACTACAGACTAACTCTCATTCACTGTCCAATAGAAATAAAATGCAAGTCACATGTGAAATTTTACACTTTCTACTAGTAACATATTTTTAAAAGTTAAGCCAAACAAGTGTTTTAACAGTATGTTTTATTCAACATATCTTAAATAAAATTATTTCAACACAGAAGGAACATTTTTAAAATCCGCTTTCCTTTTTTTAAATAGCCTTCAAATCCAATGTATATTTTATACTTTTATACACATCTCAAGTCAGAAGCTAAATTTTCATCAGAAGTATTTGATGTGCATTTATTTAATAAATTTCATTAATTTACAGCTAAAAAGTAGATTTTTCATACACAAATTGTTCCAACATTCTTAAAAGTTCTTTAGTCACACTGGCTCATTTCAGGGGTTTAATAACCACATGTGGCTAGTGGCTACCATATTGGACAGCACAGCTGTATACTGTCAGCTTAACTAGAGTAGAATTTCATCTTGGAACTGACAGTGACAAATGTGTGATTACAGAGGAGACACACCTTGAAGAAACGACAGAGAGCCAACAGAACGGTGAAGAAGGCACGTCTACTCCTGAGGACAAGGAGAGTGGGCAGGAGGGAGTCGACAGTATGGCAGAGGAAGGAACCAGTGATAGTAACACTGGCTCGGAGAGCAACAGTGCAACAGTGGAGGAGCCACCAACAGATCCCATACCAGAAGATGAGAAAAAAGAATAAATGTTGCCTTGTTTTATGTGTTCTAAATACTTTTTTAAATGAAAAAATGTTTTTTGGTTTTAATGGTGTTATGTGGTTTGTGTATTAATTTTTTTCTTGTCCATATCACACCACCAAAGGCTTTTGGACCATTTAGCATCATGAGCCTAATGGCACAGTCAGTCACCTTTCTTAAGTGTTGTGAAGATGGCTCTTTTCTTTGGATCTTGTTTCTAGCCCTCAACTGCTGAAAGCCTCAGAATTTAGGTTAATTGAGAAAACACCCACCTCTTTTAGAGAATTATCCTTTGATGCTGCAGAATCTACTCTTACAATGCCTTCCTACAGCTCACTGGGGTGCTTACCAAAGCCATAGCTTTAAACCTTCCCAATCCCCATCAACAGCTTCCTGAAAGTTTCCTCTCTTGTTTACTTCTGCAAAGGGTAGCTTCTTAAAAACGTGATCATGTATGAGTAAGTATTTGTTCACTTACCCTTTTTTACTTTTAATCAATGTCAGATACCAAGAGTTGTGTTAAGAAGTTGAGTGTAGCCTGCAACTACGCGTGGATCTTACTGATCCAGAAATAGTCCCCATAGTTAGAGTAGTTACTTATGAAATGGTCATTAAAGTGAACACAGCACATATACATTATCTGTACTGCTTTTTGTTATGATTAATATTGGGTATGTTCTGGTAAATCCATCCTTATTGTATAGAAAGAAAATTACTTTTTTACCAGGTTTTCCAAAGACAGAATAGATCACAAAGCTCAAGGAATTTAATATTCTTGTAATGGACTAGATAATTCAAACTGATTAGCCCATTTCTGAAGAAAAACAGCTGGGAATTAAGTTAATCCACTTGAAATTGTTTTACAATAATCAGAACATTCGAAACCTCAAGGCTCAGGATCCCATAGATCAGAGCCCACCTTTTTGATAAACTCTTAAAGTCTTGGAGACTAGAAGCAAGACAGTTTGTGACACATATGCTTCCCAAAAACTAGAATAGATTTTTACTGAATAGTGGTATATCTGATGGTATATGTTTCTTAAAGGTCCAAATGTAATAAAAAAAAAAAAATGAAGAAAAAGGTCTCAGTGTTTTTAATGTACTACGTAGTTGTATGCAAGACAGGCATCCAGTTTTTTTCTGTAATGCAGTGACAGTGTGGAATGACCACTCAGCCATTATGAATTTGTGTACTCAGGGCCCTTGTCTCACCCAAGTGTCTCAATAAACTGCTGCAATAGTTTATTTGTACAAGACACTTGTGAAAATCACTTTTCTTACATTATAGTCAATGTCACATACGGAAGTTGGTCTTTGACTCCAAAAGTAAAGGGAATATGGAGAAATCTGTAACGTTTGAACTATCTTTGAAAAAATGGCTATGTAACAAATGTAAGTCCTGTGCTTATATGGAGAGAACTCTGTGCCAGCATGAGTTAATTTATAGTGAATTCACTGCTATTCAGTTCATAGCACATTAGTGACTAGGAATCTATGTTCAGCTTCCTGAGAGGAGGGGAGGAAGCTTCATGTTGGGTGGAAACAACTCTTGACATCTGTTTCTTTGTGCTTCAAAGAACGAATTCGTATCAAATCTGTTGAGCTTTGGCCATTATATGGCTAAGAACTTCAGCCATCTCAACTCAGACGAATTGGACAGCCTCTTTGATACATTTTCTAGTAGTCAAAATGGGCAGATGTAGTATAATATGGGTGGAAAACAGTGCCCCAGCAAGATACCAGGTTCTTTACTGTGGTATGGAAAACTCTAAGAGAATGGAAGTGGTTCTTTTGCCTAGCTGGAAATAGCACTGGGAAAACAAGTGTATCCAGACCAAGCCTGCCCATACAACACTGGCAATTGGTTGATGAGGGAAATAAGTCAGATGGGAGATGGGATTTTTTTTTTTTTTCTTTTTTTTTTTTTAAGTTGGAGTCTCCATCTGTTGCCCAGGCTGGAGTGCAGTGGTGGCGATCTTGGCTCACTGCAACCTCCGCCTCCCAGGTTCAAGCAATTCGCCCTGCCTCAGCCTCCAGAGCAGCTGGGATTACAGGCTCTCGCCACCACGCCCAGCTAATTTTTGTATTTTTTAGTAGAGACAGGGTTTCACCATGTTGGCCAGGCTGATCTTGAACTCCTGACCCCAGGTGATTTGCCCACCTTGGCCTCCCAAAGTACTGGGATTACAGGCATGAGCCACCGTGCCCGGCCTCAGTTGGGATTTGACAGCTCTGAACCTCAGCAGGGGCAGACTGAAGTAAAAATCCACTTTGTCAGAGTGATATATGTAGACTTGTTGTTTGAGATTGTTCTCAGTTTAGAGAATGTGGGATATAGTAGAGGTCTTTGTTTTTTTTCCCATGTCCCAACAGGCACTGGGGCAAGTTACTTAAACTCTTGAGCCTGTTTTAATTATAAAATAGATCAAACTGCTCTCTTTCTCGGTGCCCTTACAGCTCCTTGATTTTTAGTGCATTTATTTTTAGTATGAATGCAGAAAGTCTGAGGGCCTAAATTTTATTAATTTTTAACAAATGGGAGAGGGGAATCCTTGATAGTCCCCCAATCAACTTTCCTTTTGTTTTGAGAATGAGTCTTGCTCTGTCGCCCAGACTGAAGTGCAATGGCACCATCTCGGCTCACTGCAACATCCGGCTCCTGGGTTCCAGCAATTCTCCTTCCTCAGCCTCCTGAGTAGCTGGGATTACAGGTGCCCGCCACCATGCATGGCTAATTTTTGTATTTTTAGTAGAGTCAGGGTTTTCCTTGTTGGCCAGGCTGGTCTCGAACTCCTGACCTCCTGATCTGCCCTCCTCTGCCTCCCAAAGTGCTGGGATTAGTTTTCTAACAGGAATTTTAAAGTCTGTAACTTCTCCTATCTATAAATAAGGCTGTCTTTTTAAATGACTCTCCTACAGGATGTGATAATTATGTATTCTATAAAGCCGAGATATGGAGAGAGGTAAATAGCTATTTCACATTAATACAATAATGTAAATGCCCTATGGAAAAGATACAATACTTGGACTATGTTTTAAAGGGGAATCTGGGGTCTTGCATATTGAAGTTTAACTAGATCCCTCCAGATTTTTGGTTTTGATCCTACACTTTTAGATACTAGTTTTGGATTTTAGACAGTTGGTGCTGACGGTGTGAAACTTCTATTGCCTGCAGTTAAATTGAAGCTTTGGTTTCTCATGTGAACAGGCAGTGAAGCTGGGATCATACTTCAAGTCCTCATTTCAGAAATAGTTTCCCTCCACCCGCAAGCACTACCACACATGGTCTCCCCACCTGGTTTCAGCTAGTGCATTAGTTTTATCTTGTTTTTTACCGCTGGGCAAACCTTGCTGGAACAACAACTGACTTCATGATTTGCACATTTGGAGGGCTTAATGTCTTTGCAAATGAAAAATCCACTGTGCAATAACAAGCTCAAAGGAACTCGGAGCCTTTTTAGAAGAAATCATCCTCAATTTTAATGTGTGGCTTACTGCAATGTTTCTTTGATCAGGATGGAAAGGAAAATACTGAGTTTAGCAGAACACTTTTTGGTGTCTAAATGTATTTGTAATGATACAATTGTTTATCAGTGTTTTAGATTGAACCATAAGACATTGCCAGTGTACGATTTCATCTACAAAATGACAATTTCACCTGACTTAACCTAAATTCTGCATTTTGTACTCCAAGAATAAGCTCTTCATGGCAGCTCTCTAAGTGTGAAATGATGGAACTTTCTATTTGCCAGAATGACCTACACTTCTCTAATAGTTTATCTCATATTGTTAGCCAAACACTGATTAAAACGCAAATCTCAAACTACTGAGTTTTTAAGAGCCTGATGTTTAAAATACACTGTGGTGAACTTATAGTTAAACTAGCTCGTTTATGTTCACACATTTTCTCATTTAGCACCAGAAAGTTTCTTACAGCTCTTTTGCATGCATTCAGGAGTAAAAAGCATTATATGGGGAGGGGAAATTCCCAAATGATAAAAGCTTTTTACCTAAAACTGAGACAGTAACTGCAGATAATGGCTCCCTTTGAGGAGCCACTTGAAAGAACGGAAAGGCTGCCTTAAACTCCTTGACTTTAAGGGGCAGCAAGGACCCTCGGTCAGCCACCTCCACACCCGTCTAGCACTTGGTCCCAGGTACCCATAGGCATCATGGCTCTGCTTAAATAAATACCTCTAGTCCTGGGGAGTCCATCATCTCTTAAGATAGCTCATTCCTTCTTTAGTTCACTAAAGGTATTTCCTCTCACCGAGCTAAAATCTGTCTTCCTATAATTTCAGCCACCCTCTTACACACCTTGAAGTCAATTAGAGTACGTGTCACCACCTTCCAAGTAAAAGATCTTCAAATATTTCAAGACATGTGCCCCTTGAGATCCTTTCAGAAGACAATTTCCATTTTCTTTTTTAGAATTTTTAATTTTTTAATGTCCAGAAAAATTTGGAACATAGTTAGTTTACATTCTCATTGTCCTGTTGTCTCCCCTGCAATGTGTCTCTCCTGGGATAGAAGGACTGTTTCTTTTCAAACACGTTTTTCTCTAATCTGGTAAAGTGTTTCCTCCCCAGTGTATTGTACTTGAGACACAACATCTCCAGATCATGGAAACCATCTGCCTAAAATACAGGGGTGGTCCCGTGATGACCTCAAGGTCCTGTACAGCGCAGAAGTTTTGTAACTGTACTACAGATTCGAGCTCCATGAAATGAGCGTTGACGAATGTTTTCAGATGTAGCACGACGAGGAGCACACAGGTTCAGTTCACTGAGTTAGTACTTCTCAAACTCGATCATTTGCATGCCACCATCACAATTTTTACCGTTTCTGGGTACGACTTGTGCTATTATTACTTAGCAACTTTCTTTGAATCAGCTTCTTCCACTTGAATGACTTATTTTAAAGGGAAACTGTGTATCAGCATAAATGTTAAAACCGTTGTCTTTTGTCAAAAAAGAAAATAACCTTAACACAAATATTTTAGTAGTTCTGTTTAGACTTAAATATGTACTATGTAAAAGAGTATTATTTAAGGCCAAGTGTGGTGATTCATATCTGCAATCTCAGCACTTTGGGAGGCCGAGGCAGGAGGATCATTTGTGGTCAGAAGTTCAAGACCAGCCTGGGCAACATAGCAAGACCCTGTCTTTATTTTTTAAATAAAGTTTAAAAAAAAAAAAAAAAAAGAACATTCTTTAAATGGTCTTTGTACTACCCAAAATCATCCCAAGAATCCCACATGGTGGTCTGGATAACACACGTGGGAGAAGACAACAGTAATGGGAAGGGCTATGTCCTGCTACCTGCAGTTGCAGGAGGTTTGTCTTTTTAGAAACTATCCCTGGGTCAACAGCGGCTTATAACTCAAGGGGAAATTCATGAAAGTTAATTCCATGATCACCTAATAATAATAAAAGCCAACATTTGTTGAGCACTTAGTATATGCTCATGCACTTTTTATACTTTTTATTTTCTAATCCCTGAAGTTAATATTAGAGTAGATCACTTTACCAATGCAGTTTATATTTATGATCTTGGGCCTCAGTTGATCAATCAACTCTTACAAACCATTTTTCCTGGAGAGAGGAAAATTAGCCTCAGGCTGTTGTACAAGATATTAAATGACATCAAGATTGAACATCTGTGCTAGGGATTTCATCATTGTGGATCAATAATTCAAAAGACTCAAGACAAAAGAATCCACTCAGAGATCAGTGTTCTTGCAATAGGAGATGTATATGGAAAAACTATTCCCTTTGTAATCCTTTCCTTCTTCCCTCCAAAGCTCTCCATACCACCAAAATGAAAAAGTACACACACACACAAATACACAGACTTAAAAAATTTGTGTGTCTACAATAATACAAAGTACTGTGCTACATAAAGAACTACTCTCATGTCTGATGTCTGCTATGTTATGTGTGCATTTTACCCCTGTTGTGGTTTCCTGTCAATCAGTGAACAGTGGGAAATCTTTTAAAAGACATCCCTGGTTGGGTGTCAAAAATTTCAGGAAGTATCAAATCAGATGGATGTTATGCAGAATAACTCTCTGACCTTTAA